TGTTGTCATTTGCTAACATCAGACTTTTTGAAATTCAACAACGTTTTGGTGTTGTAAGTTCTCTGAGTTCAGTTGTTTAAATGTATGATAGCCTAGAATACATTTCAACACTTGTACAAAAGTGTTTGTGTATTCCATGATTATAATTCCCAACAGGAAGGTTAATGGAACCAAATTGTTATTGTTGAACCGATAGTCTTCAAATTACTTACCTTTGTTGGACCATACTGTTAATAGTATTCGTATTTATTTATTTGTTTATTTTGATTCTTAATCTAACATTTTTTTATCTTTTTTTTCCAACCCAATCAAAGGTAAGTAATTCGAATTTAATTTTTAAATTTTAATTTTAATTTTTCGCAACTAAGACAACTGACAAATTAATTGGTACCGAAAGGGCGGTTTAAGGGTGCTAATAATTCCTTGACCGTAACCGACTCCTGAACCCGACACATTTATGGTAAAACGCAAATTAGGTAATATGGTGTCCGATCTACCTAATTATTTTTAAATGATCGGTGGCGACTCTAATCAATTTTATTCAAGTCGTTGCCCAATTCTGGGCTCACCTGAAAGACGGTCGCAACACTGTACTTTGAACTCCTATCTGCAACTTTATCAAGCCAATTTTTAAAAAGATTCAAGAAACGATCGGTATTTTATTCCAAAATGCATTTGCATGCTTTTAACATTAGTGCATAGAAACGTTGGTTTTCTTTTTATCAGTGGCCAAACAAATTATTTTCTTTGCAACCAAACAACATAAAAAAAGATTCAAGAAACGATCAATCAAACCTAACATCCGCCATTCATAAATCATACCTCTTAAATCAGAAAATCAACATGATTTCGACAAATTCAAGCATACAAACACGAACAGCATTATCACAGTCTAAAAACCCCTAACAAAATCATGCCCTTACAGAAAGCTTGATCAGATGGAACATGGAGGAGGAGAAGCTCGAAATCAGAAACGTTCGATCGAATGATCTTTTGAATAGTCCACTCAAAAGCTCCTACGCTACTTATGGAAGCGTATGGGTAACCACCGAGACTTGACACGTCCACTGCCAACATTATCCGAGTCACATTTGCCTCGCTTCTTGTCGCCATCTTTTCTACGTGCTACTCACTGAGTAACTACTCGGAACTCGATTTCTGTTCGTCTCTCTAAGCTTTTCTTGGAACTGTCTAGCTTTCCAAGACTCAAATGAAAAAGGGCTCAGCCAGGTAAAGGTCAAAACGTGGAAGGATAGCGCGCAATTCACATAACGTATACGATGAATATTAGGATTAATTATAAAATAAGTGTTCGAATTATCTCTTTTTCTATTTAGGTGGGTTTTTTGTTGGCTAACATTTTTAATATTACCATTTTAGGTAACTCGTTTGACGTGATCTTTTAAAAAATCCATCAATTACTCAAAACGTCTCATATTTATAATTTTTTAAAAAATTATATTAAAAAACTTAAAATTATTAGTTTAAAAAAAATCTTCAAATCTCAAACACAAAGTTCTTACTTTTAAATCAGTTGAAAATCGTCATCGTCGTCAAACGAAAGGAAAAGTGTCACCATCATCGCTGCTCTTCTTAAAATCTATCTCCAACAAGATATGATAACACCAAACATCAAGCAATTGTTTATGATTTTAAGTTAGGGATTTGTGTATTAGGAATTTAGGAGTTTAGGATGACAACAAAGGTGATTATAAGTTATTGATTGGTCAGCGATGGGTGGTTGGCCATTTGACGGTGGCGGTAACTAGAGATAGCCGACGACAATAATGAAGGTTTGAAATTAGAGATTTTAGGGGTTTTATTATTTTATTTTATTTTTGAGAAATTTTAGAGAAATTTTATATTTTTTTAAAAAAGGTTAGCTATTTTAAGTTTTTATTTAAATAAAATTTTAAAAAATTATAAATATATCACGTGTCACATTTTGAGAGATTGACAATTTTTTTTAATGATCGTAACAGACGAGACACTTAAGATTATAGCGTTAAAAACGTTAGACATCTATCTTGATAAAATTATACTTTAGACAATTAAATGAAAAAGAGATGTAATTTAAACACCTATTTTATAATAAGCCTAAATATTATTAAGCAGTGTTTGCTATTGTGCGTTTTGGCAGTTATAATAACCGGTGAGTTTTTCGGCAATCGACTGAGCCATGACTTTTACAGAAGGCATCCACATGGCGACAGAGAACGGATGGTACCAAACGATAATTGAAGGGGATACAATCTCCATTGTGAATCGTTTGACTAACCATCATAAAGACATTTCGGTTGTTGGATTGATGCAAAACGAGGCATGGTCGCTTCTTGCTAGGGAACTTAACATCAAAGTTCATTACATTAATCGAGTCGTGAATCGGGGTTGCACACACTATTGTTCATTGTGCCTTGTCCAGAAACAATCTTTTTTAGTTTTTTTCTTTCTTGAAGAACCGAAATATATAAAGGACGATATAATTCTTGATGTATTGGCATTTGAATGAATCTACGATTTAATTTTAAAAAAACAGATTATGTGAAGTTACCAAAACACCCATATCGAAATATTATTGTCTAAAACTTTTGAGATTCATCCTTAATATTTTATATCCTAGACTAAAACATTGCTTACAACTATACAAGTATTCAGGGTCGGTCCAATGAGTTTTAATGTCATAGGTGATATAATAATTTTATGTCCCTATACTTGTACAGTATAACAGACAAAACATAAATAATTTTTTTAAAACAAAAATGTAATAGAAATTATAGTCAAACAATATCAATACTAATACAAACCAAAACCTACAAGGCTACAAATATCGCCTAAAACGATGTCTTCGTGCATTTTTTGAAGCAAAAACCTCTATTATTTTACGATAATCAAGACTTTGTAAAAATTGACTTTCGATGCTTAGAATTGCTAATCCGTTCAATCTATCTTGAGTCATCGTGCTTCGAAGATAGGATTTCAAGAGCTTCAATTTTAAAAAACTTCTTTCCGCGAAAGCAACCGTAACCGGTACCGTCAACAAAATTTTTATATGTTATCAACACATTAGGAAGCACCGTTTGGCGTCTGCACTTCCAAGGGAGAATTAATTTTTTTGGATCTTCGTCGTCTACCCTAAGCCTTCCATCAACCGATCAGGTGTTTTGGGCTAATTTTTTGGGCCAAATATATATATACACACTATAAGCACTAGAAAACTGATGTCCTCTCAAACATGCTGCCCTATATATCCTCAAAGTATGACCCTTATTTTAAATTGGTCCTTAAACTTTTAAATGTGTTAATTTTATACCTAAATATATGACTATCATTCTAAATTAGTCCTTAAACTTTTGAATATTTCAATTTCATCTCCAAATACGACCTTCATTCTAAATTGGTCCCCCAAAATTTTGAACATTATAATTTTATCTCAAACTATATATATATATATATATACACACACTAATCACATCCATTGTTAATAAACCATTAGACCAAATTATATTATTCTATATTTGAAAAAAAAAATCAAATTTTAGGTTAAACTATGGTTTAAACTAATTTCATATTTGGATGGATTTGAGGATGAAATTGAAAGATTCAAAAGTTTGGGAACAATTTAGAAAAAGTGTTATATTTTAGGGATGAAATTAGAATGTTTAAAATTTTAAGGACCAATTTAAAATTAAGAGTATAGTTTAGGGACATATGATACAATAACTCCTAACAAATTATCAATAAAAAATCAACCGCATCGTCTTTGTATGAGAATTGCCATATTGGGCTAATGAAATAGAAAAGCTTTGCCTTGAGATTATGTCAACAGCTGCTGACCCCAAAAGGCCCATAAATGAATCTATAAATATCCAACAATTCTCGCAGTCAAAACCGGAAAACCCTAAATGTTCAAACCCGCCACTTTATTTCTTTGATTATTTTCGTTGTTTTTTTTTTAATTTTTTCCCTTCTAGTTGGTAAGAGGGCGGAGATGAAGAGTGCTTATAATTTCTGACACCTCTTGTATGAGAAAAGCTTTTCTCAAAGCATTTTCGTTGAGCAGAGATAGCAACTCCCTGAGCCCTTCAAATATCAAACTTTCAATTGATGAAATTTTATTGAAGCCCAGTTTGTTCTTCGAGTATTGTTTGGGATTTTATAACAATACTGGATCGAACTGGAATTTTATGCAGTGAATTTTAAGTTGAGCTCAAGTTTTTTAATTGTTCAAATTCGTCGTAGTTTCTTGCAAGAATCATACCGATACTAAGCCCAAAATTTCACGTAGAAAGGTCAATAACTCAATATTGAATTATAAAACTTTTTTCGTGTCAAAATACAAGTTTAGATTTTATTTATTAACAATAATAAAAAGGCCAAGTGTTGGCTCTTAATTTATGCAAAATCAGTGGTGTACTTGTAATGGAAAAAGATTCATTCTCAAATTCCTGGAGTTTCTAGACGGAAAAAAATTAATACCGAGTGGCTTAGAACAACATTTTCCAGTCGATGGAAATGAAGGTGAGTGGCTTTTTCTGTCTGGGTGTTTCATTGTTTACATTTATTCAAGATTAACTTGGAACGGGCATCATACAGTGTAGGTCGGTTTCAAATAACATGTGATTTATTTCGATTCAAAATTTTAACAGAGGAAATGAGCTTGATGTAATTTTGTTATTGAAATGGTCATAAACCTTGAATATCTCTCACTTCCTGCTAAGCTGTATATAGTTTTCTCTCAAATCAAGGCATCACTTTGGTAAAAATGTTTCAAGTCCATTTCTCAACTAAACTTATGGGTGTAGCTAATTGAGAGTTGAGTTGAGTTGAGTTCTACTTGAAGTCGGTTGAGATTTTCAAATTTGAGCTTCAACTCGAGTAGCTCACGACAATCAATTGAATACTATTTCAATTTCATTTTGGTTTTATTTCGACATTCTTTTTCTCAAAATTATGTGCTCCATTGGTTTTTTCATGCTGAGGGAAGAATACAATAAAACAGCAGAGAAAGAGACTACAATCGTATTACAAAATACTGCAAATAAATTACAAGTTTCTTGAGATTCAAGCAATGGGATCTCAATTTGCAAGTCCAGCTTAATACTCAACCCTGGCCATGGATATGGTACACTAGAAATTACATTAAAAAAAACACACACTTCCATGCCTCAACACCTTTTGAATCCTTGCGAACCCTGGCACCAAAAAATCCGGCAGTTTCATATATAGAAAATCATCACCCCCAAACTTCACTCTCTTGCCTTCACTCTTTGTTTTCGGTTGATGCATTTAATTGTTTCTCTAACTGCAAGGTGGTTACGGGAAGTAAAATGAATTTGGTTTCCTGTAGGCAGAGAAAAATTAAAAATCTATTTTGACCGAGACAACAAGAGTGAGTTCGTGCACAAACCAGCATGTTTTTCGATCTCTGTCGCTGTAATTCCTCAGAAAGGTTCCCAATGCTGAAAACAGAAATACTGTCACTAAAACATGGATGAAGAAAGAAAATCAGCAGTCTTAGCTTTCACTTCGTACCCCTGTTGCAGCTGAAGCACCTGAGATTGCAGCTCTTTCTCCCTTGCAGAAGGTGGTGGCATCTGCACATACAATTAATCAATAAATTATCAGGTAATTGACATCCACTAAGCAGTTTAATCAATAAATAATCAGGAAATTGACATCGTGGGACATTAAAGTTAAAAAGCACATATGGGCTTCACTGGAGTGAGAAGTAGAGGTTCGATTAATTACCTGTAAAAGGTCATTTGAGCACACCTCGGCGGAGTCCTCAAACTTGCCTTTAAGTAAGAGAAGTTAAATTTAACATCATAATTTCTTCCATGATTAAGCAGGCAGAAAATGCAGAAATCAAAATACAGTGGCATTACCAGATGTTTGCTCCAAATACTTGATCAGTCTAACGATCTCTTCCTGAAGGCAAAACCAACACCAATGTAAACACATTAAGAAAAGCAACCTCCATTTGAAAGAATTGAGATATACATACTAAAAGAAACGTACTCTTTGCACATTGTTCTGTTGCAAGATACTTTGTAGAGATGGCAGAAATAAACTAGTTGTCGTGTTTAGAGATGTCAGACTGGTTAAACCTCCAGTTGCGGGGTTAAAACTGCAGTTTGATGGTTCCTATATGAGAGAAAAAAATGGCACTGGTTATAAAGCATCACCTAAAAGATAAAATTGCAAAGCTTGATTCTTAATATTCATCTTCAACAAAAATTACAGTTTAAAACTAGATAACTTGCATCCATCAGGACAAGCACATGAAATGCACATTATACGAGTCAAACCAAACTAGAAGAAACAAAAGTCACTAGAGGAATCGTTTAGGACAATGCCCATTAGCAAAATTATTAGATATGATATTAAAGTCGATGGCATTGGATGTATTAATGCAGCAGGAGGCTACATGATGCCTACCAATTTGAGACCAACTGTGCTGCTGATTGATACAGACAATATAAATTTCCAAACTGTTCTGTTGATTTCTAGTAAAGACTGTTTATTCGTGCAAAGTTACATGTTATTGCACAACAGCAGAAGATTGTACCTTAGGACTGAGATCAGCTGAAGTCACCTTAAAGCGGCCCCGTTGAACAACTGGTCCCTCCAATGCCTCCTCTGATGCATAAGAAGAAGGAAAGAAATCAAATTAAGTTCATTAGGCTGCAAATAAGTAGACCATCACTTCTAAGTAAAAACGGAAGAAAATAGAACCAGGAAATACCAGGTGAGGTCTTATGTGTTTCTCTCCTCTGGCGATAGAACAATGGACCACTGTGGTTGCGTTCAGATTGAAATTTAGGCTGTAGGAAGTCCCTTCAAAACATTTTTAATGAACCAGGATTAATACAGATGACAAAAAATCTTCCCAGTAAATGGCAAATACACGGAAACAATTTTCCTTCTAACTACAGAATCAATGAGCCAAGTGAAGAAGAAAGTCCATGTGCCCAACATCATAAATCTTGGGATCCTCTAGAGGGATAAATAAACATATAAAACACAAATGAAAAAAGAAAGAAAAAAAATGCAATTGATAGAATTAAAAAACTCATCATATCTAGAACTTAATAATGGGAAAAAGATCTTCCTATGTGATAATTCAAAGGTTTTAACCATTCTATCATGTTTGGTCGAAGGTTTGAGCCTCGGGATAACTTAAAACAAAGCTTACCTATCCCCATTTCCTGTAACATTTTGGGGAGGAAGGTTTTCAGGTATTAGTGAACCGCTCCAATACTTTTTATGCTGTGGAATGACCTGACATGATAAAGAGCTAGTTTGCCGAGAATTCTCACCCTCATATCTTCCAGCATCTTGGTCCAAAGCTCTTGATGAGTTTGTAATGAACCGTTCACTTTCTAATTGGGTAACACCTTTCTGGTTTGGACTATTTGCACCCTCGTCATCTTTTTTATGCTGTGGAATGACCTGACATGATAAGAGCTAGTTTGCCGAGAATTCTCACCCTCATATCTTCCAGCATCTTGGTCCAAAGCTCTTGATGAGTTTGTAATGAACCGTTCACTTTCTAATTGGGTAACACCTTTCTGGTTTGGACTATTTGCACCCTCGTCATCTTCAACAACGTCAAAACAGCCTCTGTTCCAATCATAAAATATTTGCATAAATAAAAGAAAACTAAATTCAACAACGTCAAAACAGTCTCAACCCCTTTTTTCCAAGAAAAAAATAATTAGTCTAACATATATCATATTTTTTTCTTAAAATATATGCAGAAGATACTACAAAAAGATCAATCGAAAATTGATCGATTAAGCTTGTGACAGAGTACTACTTTCTATTTGAAAAATTACAATCTATAATCCCTTTGGATGTGAAAAATGATATTCAACTTATAATGACGTAACAATGAATTGCTTGCAATAACAAGATCATGCAAGCATAAAAATGTCATACTTGAGTGCTTGGGGAGGTTTAATAGTAAAAGAAGCTAGTGAACTCTCCAAATCATGAAGATCACTAAGCCCTTCCTGAAACAAGTAAAAGAAGAGTTTAAATCTTAAAGCACAAGCTTAATCAGAGCATCAAGGAAGGATTGAAGCACTGGAAATTTAATCATACAGAAAACATCTTTTAAGTTACCTCCTGGCTAGTTGCAGCAACAGAATTACAAGCTGTTTCTGGGGACATATTCTCTGCTGATAATCCGGCTACATCATGCATGTCCCTTTGCTTCTTGCTCCCTTCTTGATCTTCTGCACTTAGGATATCATCATAATCATGAATCTGCATGTGAAACAATCTGATATTAGGATTTGGAGCAGTTCTCAGACTACCTCCAGATAAATAAAAAAAGGGGGGGGAGAAGACATGGGAAATTTAAGCTACTTACAAGTGCAGCCTGACTTTTCAAATCCTCTAAGTTGAAATTCCAGGCACTGATTCCTCTTATGTACTCTTGCTGCAAGGTGAAAGGAATTCATATTCAAATTAATGCTTGAATAAATCATGGGCATTCATTAGTCAAAGTAAAACAAGGTGCAACAGCTCCCTCAATCTTTAAGACTTGAGATGAATGTGGAACTGACAGCAATTGGCTTGGATCATGAAGAATATAAAGCCCTTGAATACTAGTGGGTGCATAAAGGAAAGAACCTAGCATTATTGGTTGCTTTTTTTTGCTGAAAAGAAGAAGAAAAAGAAGAAGAAAATGTTCCATTACTCACCTGTGATAATTGCTCCTTGTCCTCGTAGAGAGCCTTATTCTGGACAAGAAGATCAGCTTCTTTTGTCTGAACATAAAGACCAGATAATATTTCCAAATTAATTCCCAACCTTAAACAGAGGTCACAAAGCTAAAGAAAAAGGGTAAGAAAGAGACCTTAAGCAACCTAAAACGTTCTCCCAATGGAGCAAGGCCATCAAGAATTGTACGAGCTAGATAACTGTAGGAGCGTGCATTTTTAAAGAAGCGGTGCTTCAAAAGTTTCTCTGAAGTTGGACGTTTCTTTGGGTCCTTCGCCAGGCAGGTAGCTACCATCTCTTTGAAAGACTAGAGAAGCACATAACACTATCAGAATGTTACTATCAGATACTAACAAACTGATACCTGTCAGTAAGACACAATTGAATAGCACAAACCTTTGAGAACCTCTTGTCCCTTTCATAGTCCAGACCAGGAGGAGCATTTTGCAAGGTCATTAACAGAACCTGCAGCAAAAAGGGAGCAAACAATCAAACTAAGACCTAAAACATGAAGCTACAACGACATACATGCAATAAACAACTGGTATAAGCATTAGAAAACTAAGATTTACTTTCATTGGTGGATACTTGGAAAACGGGGCATGGCCACGAGCAAGTTCAAGTGCTGTTATTCCAAAAGACCAGATGTCTGCTCTGTTTACAAGAAAGAAGAAAAGGAAACAAAATGATTTAAAAGGTATAAAAAGAGAATAAAGAAGTAGATTGAAAGAAAATGTCTAGATCAGCAAAACAATCAACTCACTTAAAATCATAACAGTGCAATTGCTGCATAACTTCTGGAGCCATCCTGATATAAAAGCAACAATAAGAAGACACAGTGAGGACTGGATTCCCATAATAAAAGCACCAATGAAAGTAAAATTCCAGACAGTAGAGAGGCCAAGGGAAACAAATACCAGCAAGGAGTTCCAACAAAAGTATTTCTAGAACGCTGTCTGTCCCCACTATCAAACATACATGCTGATACCCCAAAGTCTGCCAACTTGACAGCACCATCAGTGTCAATTAAAATATTCCCAGCCTGCAGATAGAAGTTATGGAATGTATATAAGAATAACACAGAAAATCCCCAAAATGAGAAGGAAAAAAGAACAAGAAAGCAGTACTCAATTGAAATTTGTAGCACAACTGGTATCCTACTAGTTAAAGAAATAAGAGAATGTGTCTTATCAAACTACAGAGTAATAGAGCCAATAACAGCTACTATCAGTCTAAGTCTTTGTCTATGGAGAGCAGAAGAAAATTTTCCCACACTTATCATATTTTAAACTAAATTATAAGAATAACCCAAGGCATTCATATTAATTGTTACAAATAATAAGCTTAAGTTGTATCTTTATTGATGGCAGTCGGTAACTAATCGGCTTGGCCTCTGAAAATAAACTACTAGAAGAAGTAAACAAGAAAAAACATGGGATAAAAACAAAATAAAGGGGAATTGGATACCTTCACGTCTCTGTGAATGTGCCCATGGGCATGCAGATAAACAAGAGCTTTAAGAACTTCACGCAACACAGTTGAAATGAAAGGCTCTTCAAAACCTTCCGGATAATCAGATTTCATTATATGTAAGCAGGACCCCCCAGCCATGTATGGCATCACAACCCAAAGGTTATGGCCAGCAGCAAATGAGCAATGTGCCCGCAATACATTTGGGTGATCAATCAAGCTCAAGGTCAGCACCTCTCTGCGAATGCCATCCTGCATCACTCATGAACAGAATGCATTCAGTATTTCAAATCAGATGTTTTATGTTAACTTTTGATGTGGTGTGATTGTTGGGGCTCATAAGATAAGCGTCCAAGTAAACACAAGTACATGACTGTCAAGAAACAAATAACCAAACGCAATACTTACCAGATCATTGTTGCACTTCTCCAAATCAAGAACCTTGATAGCAACAATTTCATCAAGTGGAATGCATAAAGCCCTGTACACAGTGGCACTGACACCGTCTCCAACTTCCTCATATATCTTATAGTCTTTTGCATTGACTGGATACCTTTTCTCCAAAGGACGCTCCATGGTTTATTTTCACAGCATACCCTTACCACCCTCTTTACTTCTAGATGTTCCGATTAACAAAAACAAGAATTCAACTAACGATTGGATTGTCAATATAATGTGGGGTTTCTTCCAGTTTGGTAGCATCTTCTCTTCTTTAATGCGGAGCAGTATTCAAGTACATTGACTTCATCAAGTTAATGGCCTTACATGCACTTTTTTGTTGAATGGAGAAACAGTTTAAACCCAAAATCCTAATTAATAACAGGGGAAAAGAAACTCAGGCATTACAACAAGTATTCTATGATTGAACTATTGGAACAAGCAAATACATTGTCGACTGTAGAACAGAGCACTCAGCAAAGCACTATACGACAGAGATTTACCCCAGAAAGAAAATACAAGCCTAATGGCTGCAAAATGTTAACTAATAAATGCAGTCCAAAACTATCCCCAACTAAAAATGATATAAATTAATCAAGAAGTAGAAATCCCAAAAGCAAATGGTGTTAATTCTTGGTTACAAAAACACAAAACATGGTAAAAAGCAAAGCAAACTTTAACTTTCCTATAGAAATCAAAACCATTAGATGCCAACTCTTAGCCACTCTAGAGCAAAAGATTCCAATAAAAAACACGAAATTTAACCTGTTCTTTACCATCAACTTTCATGAACAAAAACAATAAGTGAATAAAAGAGACCAATGCATTTCATTCAAATTTCAACTTTTAAAAAGAAATTCAAAATTCCCATGTCAACAAGGGCAGTTCATTTATACAGTTCCTGCTTAAATTACAAAACATAAAATTAGCCTAAATTGTAACTGTAACTCCAAATTCTACCTCACTATCAAAGTAACTTAGCATTCATAAAATCACTTGAAAGTTTCCACATTTCCTCTAGAATTCCAAAACTTCCAATCTAAAAAGAACCAATCAGACATTATATAGAAACATAGAAGAAGAAGAAGAAAACAACTAAAATTATTAATAAATTAGAAACAAACCTAGAGTTTCAGCGGATTCAAATCAAAGTAGTGTCTGAAAACCTGATTTGCATTGAATCCCAACCTCACCAACTCCTTCATACTACCTTCACAATACCACGTCGCGTAGACTAAAATTTCGATCTTTTTTTGCGTCTGCAAAGACGGCTCAAACGATAACCATTAGACAACAATATTATTGGTCGAAAAAAATTTAGAAACTGTTGATTACTATTGTGCCAATTACCAAAAAGAAATAGACACTGTCAAGTTTCAGATCCTTGGATCGAATCTTACACCTTTCACAGTTGCAATAACATAAATAAATAATACTTCAATTGTCTTTTTTCTTTATTTATTTATTTACGATTTAGTCGAGTTTATAAATTGGAAAACGAAATATTTTAGTCGTAACGTAGAGAGAGAAGAAGCTCAAGTTAAATGCAAATCTGGAGTGAAACCCGACCCGATTCGATCGTGTCAAAAAAAAAACTGATCTCTTAAATCCTGAAAATATCTTATTGACAAAGATTTGATAATATCTTTACCATAATTATTTGACGAGCTCTATGTAGTATCATATTTTTATATAATTTAATAATTAAATTTAAATAAAATTATATTACTTTACTATTAAATATTATTTTGAGTTGGACCAACTTAAATCATCAGAAAATATTATCATGAGATTATTCCAATATTTTAATCTTATAAAATTAAATTTCTAAATCTCGCTGTTTTCTGTTCACATGCAAGTCAACTTTCCTCCCTCTATCACGAGCATCTTCCTTTGGAGGTCGAAAACTGTCATTGTTTGATTTTCATTTTTCTCCCCCATCATATCTCTTTATTTTTATTAAATTTTTCGGTGGTCATCTCAAATCTGGTAAATTTCTTTAAATAATATATTTTTAATTTTCTTAAAATATGAGTGTATAGAGATAATTTTCCAAATTTTATTTACATATATATACTTTAATATTTACAATTGTTGATCTTGAGATTAGTGTAAACAATGATTTTCAAGCCTCTTAGAACTAACAGAGGAAAAGGATAGAATCTTGATCGATAATTTATACTATATTTATAATGTGTAATTGGTCATATCACGTGAAATTGAATAAAGCATATTGCTCATCCATTTTTTCAAAATAATAATAATAAATAAGATTTATATATAAATTCTTTACTAATTTTTGTTGAATGTTTTTAAATATATTTTTATATAAATTATTTTCTTACTCCTATATTACAAGTATAGAAAAATCTAGTATTAAAAATTATTTTATATAAATTATTTTTTACACATATATAATTTTTTATAAGCCAAACAACCTCAACGATTAAAGAGATGATTGTTATTCATAAATACTTCAGGTTTGAGTACAATATGCGTTTGAACGTTCCTTGTCAAATCCAATAAAATCGCAACGCGGATCTGTAAATCGCAACGCGAATCTGTAATTCGCAACACAGAAGTCAAATTCGTAAAGTGCGTTTATTTTCGCAACGCGAATTTTATTTTCGAATTCGAAACACAATATTAATTTCGCAACACAAATGTAAACAGTATAATCACAAATCATAACCTAAACCCTAAATCACAACTCAGTCACATCTCCATCTCTTACTCTCTACGGCGACATCCGTCCCCATCTCCGACGAAATCCGTCTATCTCCATCTCTCAGAGCCACCCTCACAGCCATTTACGGTCAGAAATGGAAAATCAACCACCGAGGTTAGTTTTTTTAATTATTTTTATTTTGAAATTTTTGTATTATTATTAGATTTTTCATATTTAAATTGATGATAAATGTACTGATAATTTCAATAATAGATTAACTATTTCACTTAGATTGCTTAGTAAATTCATTCGGTTGCTTCCAATACTGCTAAATTGTTTAGTCTTTAACCCTGCAAAGTTAGTATTTGTCTTTGTTTTGTCTTTTGGTTGAAGTAATGCAATTCATTCAAGTTTCAATTTGCAGAAGACTATTTGAAACTTAAATTCGCAACACGAAAATGAAAATCTCAACGCGAAAATGAAAATCGTGTTGCGATTTTCATTTCGCGTTGCGATTTTAAGTTTCAGAAACTATTCTTCTTCTGCAAATTGAAACTTGAATGAATTGCATTAATTCAACCAAAAACCAAAGACAAATACTAACTTAACAGTGTTGCGAATTTAAGTTTCAAGAATAAACTACTACTCTTTATGTTGTCCTTGAACCTGCACTAAACATATATGTTGTCCTTTTAAATGTTTATATAAGTGCTTATTTCTGGAATGTTATTTGATGCATTTTATGTACTATGATAGAATAATGACTTGGGTGAATACCGTGCAAATTTGAAACATATTTGGCTTTTTTTTCACTGTTTAATACCGTGCAAGCTAGTAAGTGTTTTTTTGATGGCACAGATGATGACACCCCCCCCACTTTGAGAGCTATCACCTAATTGAGTCGATTCTACAGCTCAACACCTAGAGCCATCACCTCCACAACGAGAGTCATCACCTATTCCATCACATCATCGAGCCTCTTCTCCACCATCACATCATGATAGGTGACCGACAAAGATGTCACGGCATTTATCTCCTTGTTCTCCACCTCCACGGGATGAGTTAGGGGAGTTACGTGATGAGGTCAATCCTTTGCGTGAGGAGGTCGGTACTTTACGTGACGATAATGGTGCATGGTGTGATGAGGTACAGTCTTTACGTGGTGAGGTAGAGGTTTTAGGCGATGACAATGGTGCTTTACGTGGTGAGGTATCTACTTTACGTGATGAGGTAGCCACTCTACGTGAGATTGTTGTATCATTGCAGAATGAGGTTCATACTCTACGCAATGAGGTAAGTTTATTTAATACTATACTAAAAATGAAAATAACTTTTTTCGGCATTATTTATTTGTTTATTTACTGATTTATGTATTAATTTATTTTTAGCGGCCCGATAAGGTAGATACTTTATGTCAGGTTTTTCTTGCACGACGGGGTTCACGCATCAGACGTCGTGCACGTGCCATTACGTCTCCGTTCACCCCAATAGTGCCAGGACTCCGTAAGAAGAAGCCCGATTCACCTGTCATCGTTCAAGAGGCCTCTCCTATCGTTCAAGAGGCCCCTTCCACCGTTCAAGAGGCCCCTGTCATCGTTCAAGAGGCCCCTGTCATCGTTAAAGAGGTCCCTCCCACCGTTCAAGAGCCCGATTCATATGGCATAATATGTTGACATATTGATAAACCCCCTCACATGCTCGACATGATGGATGAGAGTTGGCTTTCGTATGAGTTACCGGTCAGTACCATTCCGGTATCTGAAGTGGAGAGGAGAACACTACCGGACACAATTCTGGATAATACCCTTTGGGCTAAGACCGTAGTTGATTTTTATCTACATGATCGGAGCCAGGGGTGTTACGCTGACATATGCAAACTCGACGATGATATGCATTTGTTTCTTGATCGGCCTTGGTAGGGCGTGTTATTAGGGGTTGAAGACGATGGCTATTTTGAATGGGGGGTAAGTCTTATATTCTTCTTATATTGCATTTTGATTAATTTTTTTAATTTATTTATTAAATTCACTAATATATGTATTTGTTTTATAAAACAACATATTGATGCATGGGTGTCACGTCATCTGATAATAAGGAAATTGAAGAAAATACAAAATACGTGATGGACTATTATGCCTTCGTCTTTTCACGTAGCTCACTTGAAGGATCAGAGAGACGCTTCATATGTGTTGGGTAATAAAAAAGCTAAATTTTATTCTGCGTGGTGGGAGGTCGATAAGGTTAGTATTTATGTTTGAATATTTTAAAGGTGTTCATAAATTTTATTTGATGTGCAATTGAATTATTATTTATGATTGCAGGTGTTTATCCCTGTTATAGAACGTCGTCATTGGCTTCTCGTCGAGCTTCAGCTCCCATCCCTGAAGACGATAGTATATGACAACATGTTGAATTACATACCATTGTCTGATCTAAGAGATATTATTTGTAAGGGATGGAGTGCTCATTTGGCTAAATACTTGGATGCGATTGATTATTGGACTAATTCTGGAAACAAGAAGCCAAAAAAGTTCAAAGTTACAATGATCAGAGACGAGACAACGCCACAAAAAATGGAGGGAGCCAGAGGGGATTGTGGTCCACTCGTATGCATGTGCTTGGAACGTTTGACGACAGGAAGTAAACAGTTTCTACCTCCCACAGATAGAGATAGAGGTGTAGTAGGGTTGTGGTTTTGGCATTTTATGGCTAGAGCGATATATGCGAGACGTTGCCTACCTACATCCGTCTGCTGAAAGTGTGCATAAACAACACAAATTGGTAAGTTTGAGCAAGTGTTGTTAACATATATACTCTTTGTTGGTTTGAAAATGTTTGGTTAAGTACCTAGATAATTTGTTGTTTGTTGGTTTTAGATGTGTAGAAAGTGTTGTTTGAGCAAATGTTTGGTTTCTGCAGGTTAATCATGATTCTGAAGTGAGCTGCGTGAAATTGATGTATTTTTGCATAAACAACCAGCTATTGATTTATTTTTTTAGATGTGTAAATAAGAATTGTTTTTTGCTTGTTTAATTGATTTGTAAAAATTGATTTGTTGTTTAAGAAAATTTCAATCTGCATTATGTTGAAGGCAAAAAAGATCTATTGAAGGTACACTTTCGCAACGTGAAAGTCAAATGCGAGTTGCGATTTTCGCGTTGCGAATTTTACTTTCGCGTTTCGAATTTGATTTTCGCAACAATCGCAACGCGAATTTGACTTTTACAATAATCACAACAAAAAATCGCAACGTGAATTTGACTTTCGCGTTGCGAATTCAAGGAAAACACCTTCAAAAAGATAACAGACAACAATTTGATAAGTGATAACAACTGAACATATCATAGCAATGTTCAAACTCAAGTTACTAATGAATGTCTAACTGAAAATGTATGCATTCACACATAAATACACATAATACAACGTTTGCATTTAAAAATCACCTAAGTTAATAAGTCCCAAAAGGTGAAGACGATTGTGATTAGGATTTTGATTGCGATTGCGATTTTTATTTCCTTTTGCTTGGCACCATATGAGCTTTGGATTTTGATGAGGATCCATATTTTGGTAGAGGAAAAGATGATTGTGATGGCACTGGTGATCCACATGTTAACCTTGTATGACCAATTTTCTTGCACCGAATAAATGTCGATATCCTCTTCTCTTCACCCTTAGACGATACGATCGTGATTTTTTGGTCGGCCAGGTAGTCTGCTGTCCATGACTGGTGGCAAAACTGTTTGTAAGTCATCTGGTATGTCCCACTCAGAAGGGTGTGGAATAGGGTAGACAATCTCGACATAAGTATGTCAATA